ATGTATTCTGTACTTTTCATTGATTAAATGCCAAATTAAGAAAAGCATTATGAAAATGTGAACAGAACAATGCAGTATAAAGTATTATTGTAAAAATTGGGTTGAACTAGATGGCCAATCCAAGCTCTGGTCCAGGCTCTACCACAAATGAATAATTTCTACAACTTCTTCAGGTTTCTATGTGGTGAAATTGGACTACAACACCTTTGTAGGGATATTTCCTTGTGTATTTTCTATCATGTGATGATGATTTAAAAGCTAATTCATTCACCACTTTTTCATCTGGGCTATATTTTGCTTGAAAAAATTCCACTGCTTGATATCTGAAAGTCACTGATTTAGACTGAAGTCTTTTATTTCTATTTTCAGGCATTTCATAACCCTAATCTGACCTAATCTATCTTTAACTTTACATTCTACTCTTTCTCAACACACTTACCTTGATACCATAGTGCTTTACTTACTATTTTTCAAAATGGCCAATTTCTGCGCCCCTTATTGTTGTCAATATAGAGCTACAGCTCTGCCCTGTGTCTGTTGCATCTCACTCCCACCAAAACTTGGCCAATCTTGGGCTTAATCTTGGATATAAATTTGCTTCAAAAACTAAAATATGCAGAGGATTAGAAAGAGGAGATAGTTGTCATGTTAAAGAGAACATGGCTTCTAGGCCAGCAAGACTTGTTTGTAATTCGATAGAAAGCATAGAAAGAAAGAACTAGGAATGAAGTGAAAGCCTTGGTCAGCCCTAGAGCGTAAAAGGGAGATGGCACTGCAAAACAGTCATCTGTGTACTGTCTGTAGGAGGTACACCTTGATCCATGGACTTGGGTTCTAGTGGTAGGGCAGCCCTATCATAGAGATGAATGCACTCGTTTACTTAGTACAGGCTGATGTTGTTAAACATTTATGCCATATATCGGACACCCTGCAATTTGATTTCATAATCACTTAAAAATTTTCTGATTCTTTAACTCCCCTTATGGTGCATCCAGAAAATGCCCTGACTAGAAACAAATCCACTATTATGTTATATTTGTACCATAAATTAATGAAATAGAAACTGACGAATTCAGACATCCATTTCTGTGACCTTTGAGTAGCGTTATTCCATCCTCAGACAAGACAGAATAACAAATTATTCTGAAGGCAGAGGAACCAAGGGCCAGATCCTAGACTATGGTAAATTTACTGATAGCATGTCCCCACTGAAACTACACGGGATACCCCAACCTGCCCAATAAACACCCTGTGTTGCACTATTTTCTTTTTAGCACTTACACACACCTTTATTTATTCAAGGCCACTAAAGACATATCACAATTGACTCTGGAATACACAGGCATTAGTTGGCACCAGCTCCCCCTAAACTCCCTGCAGTTGAAAATCCACTTGTGACTTCCCCCAAATTTAACTGTTAATAGCCTTACCCATAACACAATTAACATATATTTTATTTGTAACATGTATTATATAATGTATTCTTATAATAATGTAAGCTAGAGACAGGAAAATACTAAAATCATAAGGAAGAAAATACATTTATAATATTATACATATTTATTTTTAAAAATCCGCGTATAAGTGGACCCAGAGAGTTGAAACCTGCGTTGTGCAAGGGTCAAATGTAATTTCTATGACCTTGGTTCTACTTGCCTTTCCAACAATTTCTCTATGTACCCCAAGCTACAGCAGAAACACATGTTCTAAGTACACACATTAAGTTTCAATCTCTGCTTGGAATAGTCTTCCTCTTTATGTTAACAAATGTAAATTTTAATTATTTCTCAAAGTTCAGCAAAAAGAACACCTTTTTCATGAAGACTTTTCAAAGTACACTACCCCACCAATGCTAGACCTAGCAATTTCGGTGACTTAGGAAAGCAGCAAATTATCCTCTAATCAATTTTTAACTTATTACATGCCTCACTTAGAGTCATTAGAATCAGTGGCATTTGGTAGGTTCCTTCTTTCAGTGACTAGGTAATAATCAGGTATTACACTCAGTTTCTCTGTGCTAAAAGACTATATATGCTGTTGATGCATAATGTGATAAATGCTATTAAGTCAGACCTATTATTCTGTGTTTTTGCATTCTACATTTCAGTGCCCAGGGATACAGCCTAGCTTACATACACTATCAGTCTACAGTAGATGCACCTTTATTTACCAAGTAAAAGTATTTTCTCCTATTAGAGAGAGATTAATCTTTATTATTTTTATTGAATAATTATTAAAATTATTTAAGTCTGTTCCTCTGTTAAAGGCACTTACTACTTGCTCCATGTATTATATTTGTGAGCTCTTGTTTTATCTTCCCTTCTATGTTCTTTAAAGATATGCTCCGCATCTATTTCATCTTTGTATTTCCACAGGTTCTTAGACAGTGCCTTGTAGATACAGGACACTTTAAATATAAATTAAGATTTTTCTCTTCCACTTTCAATGAAGGCTCTCCTCATTTATATGTATTCTATCTTCTGAGAAAGTCTTCCTTGACCATACCAGTCCACAGGTCACTCTTACTTTTGAGCTCCTAAAAGAACTGTCTATAAACCATTTAATTGCCACCAAAACTACTCTGGCATTATCTTTTTATGTTTATATGTATTTCATAGCCTTTTTATATTTCAGTATATTCCAACAATAGCTAGGCACAGCACAATCAATCTTAAAAAATAAATCAAGAGATTCATTAAGAAAAGTACAGTCAAACCTAAAGAGAATAAAAGATCTCATCCACATGAATGGAAAACAAACTCCTACTGAAATGCCAAAGGCTTTGGCATACATAATAGTTACTAATAAATTAAATTGTGTTGCAATTCTACAAGTGTCTTTGAATTTCATAAATCTTCATTTCTTTTAAGGAGGCATTATGTGCAACCACATTCATTTCTGACAACATCAATGAAAGCAGATAACTTTAAACAAAAACAAATAGCTATATTAAACACATAAGGATACCATTCATTTGAAATTTAGTTTGTTTTCCCTGCTGAAGACATTTAAATAGTCAGTTTGTAGGGTGTATCATTTTACCGTATGCTAAACCTTAGCTCCTTTATTTCTATTAGGTTTCTTCCTCCCTCATGGACTAAAAGCAGATAAGCAATCTTTGAATTGTCACTTCTTTTTGTATCCTTCCACAGCAAGGAACTATTTTCACTGCAGGCATTTTATAAAGCCACTGGCAAGATGGCTTTAAAGGTACATCCTTATGTTAATGAATGGGATAGCACAGATTTTGTGCACTTGATTAAATACAAACATATATATGTAACCAAATCCTACAATGACAGAGTTGGTTCCCTAGTTGAGTATCTCAATCACAACACTCTAGAGCGCAATTTTATGTTTTAATCTCATGGCACACAGAAACTAATTACACATTAAAATTCTTCAGCACACCAAAAAATATATTACATTTTTGCCAATCTGACAAAAAAAAAGTATAATTTTGATTCATTCACACCAACAGCTATTGTTGTGTTGGATGTTGCCCCCTTTTTTTTTTTTTGACAATCTAAGGGAAGAGAGGTCAGTGCCCCTGACTAAATGGTCAGGTACTGTATGTTTTAACCATTCTTGAGGCAGAGGAGTTGAACAGCGCTGCTTTAGAGTCTTGCTACTCAAAGTGTGGTTCACAGACCAGCAGCATTGTTATCACCTGGGAGCTCATTCTGAAACAACATCACAGGCCCTACCCTAGGCCTCCTAAATCAGAATCTGCATTTTAAGATCCTCTGGTGATCTATAAGCACTTCAAGGTTTGAGAAACACTGGCTTAGATTCCAGAGGAAGAATGAGAATGTCCAAGATGCATATGATCAAGTAATGCTAACTAACTCGTGATTGCTTATTTGTTGGTCTTCCTTATCTGCTAACGGAAGCCTTGTTGAGGGCAAGGACCCTTTTTCTATCTTCCTCACCATTTGTATTACCCAGGGCTCAATAAATATTTTTTGCTAAATGCATGAATGACTGAACAAGGGGAAAAAAATAAAACTTTTCCAAAAAGCTAATCTTTTAGGAAATTATTTGTACAACATGATTTTACAAACTACCATACTAATTCTTTAATTCGGTATTATTAATTCCATTTTAAGTGCTGCCTTCTCGACTTCAACAAATGCATTTAATGCATTCGACAAAGCAAAAGCTTGGATCACCATCCTTTGTTGGAGCCATCAGAGGCCTCTTTTACAACTGAGATGGCTGCATTTTAATTCCAGCTCTCGCAGATCCATCCCACAAGCCTGCACTAGAGGAAATCACCGCAAACCTTGGAGGGTGTGGGGGAAGTAGAGGAGGAGGAATGGGTAAAGTATAAACAATTCTGTATCAAGAGCATCATATAAAACCTGGAAAACATGATTTTTTTGAAGAGGATACTTCCAGAAAATAATTCCCGGCAAGGCAAAGAAGGAGATAAGAAAATTCTTACGTTTCTCAAGAGCAAAAGGTGATACTAGAGAATACCAGGGAGTGATAAAAGACCAGCGACTACCTAGCGACGGAAGGTGGAAGCACACGAGACCAAAACTAAAGCGGATAGCGGTTAGAAACGTCCAAGGAGGGTGACAAAAACCACTTTCACGTTTGCAGAGAAGGAAGTCAGGGGAAAAGAAAGTGGAAAGAAAATAGCTCTATGACGGTACAACTTACGATGATGATTAATTATTGTTACTAATTACTATTATTTGAAAACAGATGGCATGCACTTGAAGGGAGGGGGTAGAAAGAAGGAAGGGAGGTTGCAGCTGGGCGCTCCGCAAAAGGAAGCGGCTACAGGCTTCCCTGCCCAGCTCAGACAGTCCCAGGGCGGCAGCCCAGGCATAGGTGGATGGTAACGCCCGGCTCCGCTGGCTCCCTCCCGGTGGCCTGAGCCATCTCCTCTGCAGCCTACCGAGCACCGGGGTGGGGACAGGAAAAAGCAGATGGTGTGTAGGAGGCCGTGCAGGAGGAAGGGGCGGATGCCAGACTGTCCAGGTACCCACCTTATCCCAACGGAGCCACTGCCCGATGGCCGTATCTAGCTCAGGGTCCCCAGTGTGGTAAGGGGCGTGGAGCAGGTTGGAGTTCAGGTCCCCGTCTGCGTTTTCAGCCATGGCAGGCAGACTGGGGTGTGCGGGCCAGGGGGCTGACGAAGACGCCGAGTTGAGGGCCTAAGGTGAGCTTACCGGGGTCCCGACGCCCCCTCCTCAGTGAAGGGCATCGGAGACCAACCGCAGGATGTTTGCGCCAGCTCCTGCAGCAGCTTTGGGAAGCAGGAGAGAGGAGGACGCGGCCGCCCGCTCCTCGGCACACCAGCTACTGGTCTCTCTCTGGGCGAACGGGCTGAGACGGTCCCGCCGGGAGAAAACAACAGTCCCAGATGCCTGGGTCCAGACCACGGCCGCCACCGCCGCCGCCGCCGCCGCCGCCCAGGCTACCTTACGCCCCGCCCCTGCACCGCTGGCCCCGCCCCTGCTGATTTAGGCCCGGGAGGGTAGGGGCGTGAAGAGCGAGTGAGGGAAGCGCGCTCCCGAATTCTCATCAGTAGCGAGAGTTAGGACCGGCAGGGTGGTGAGGAAACGGAGCACTGCTCTTTTTATTTTTCAAATGGCCTTTGCCACGGGCCTTTGTTACAGTCCCCACACACTCCCACGCGTCTCCTTTTCTCGATCGGCTACCGCAAGCGCCCCACCTAAGCGCTCGCTCTGCAGGTCTCCAGCGTGCGCACAGACCGCTCTCCAGTTTCGGCGAGGTACACGAGACTGGCAGCCGGGAGCGTGGGGCTATCCCCGAACGGCCTTACGGGAGTTGTAGTTCTTCTCCTTCCCCGAGGTCTGCGGTGACGGGCGCAGGGACTACGACTCCCATCAGACCCTCACCCTCCCTTTTCTCAAAGGAAAAAGCTATCTCGAGGCTGTTCCCTGTGGACATTGCTCATACCTGCTAGTTTGCTGCGCCTTTGGCCCTAGGCTTAAATTAAATTAAGCAAGGGCAGATTCAGGAAGAAGACAACTGATACCCACTTAGCACTTAGTGTTTTACAGTTTACGAGTTGTGTTCTGTCTCTTCAACCCTCCTGTGAGGTAGGTGGGTGTGATCATCCCCATTTTACACACAAAGAGGAAACTGCCTTTCTGAGAGTGAACCGATTTTTTCAGAAGTGATATTCGTAAGTGATGGAATCGGGGTTCTAACCTAGTTTCAGATATCCTCAGCTGGCAGTTCTTTTTGCTCTGCTGCTACAATGGACTAGGAGGTGGGGAGAACAAGATGACTGAAAAATAGACAAGGAAGTTGCGAAGGAGGGACGATGGGTCAGCATTTAACCATAAGTAGCAATGAATAAGCGTCATGAGAGAGACACCAAGAGCAATAGCACTAGGAATGCAAAGGAAGAAGAAAGATTATTGAAATAATTTAAAATTTCTTATTTTGGCCTCCTTTCTTCATCTTTCAAGTCCCGCAGCTTGAGGTCTGGGAGATGCTGAGAAGTGCTTACCTGCTACTCTTTTGCTCCTGAGTTTCTTGGTTTGGCTCTATGATTTTTACCTACTCAGCTTTTTTTTTTGTAAGACGGGTGTAATAATATTTACACCATAGCTACAGTGACTTAATAAATGGCTTTAGAGTACTTTGAGGTTCATAGATAAAAGACATACATTCAAAGTATTACTCTTTCCTTTGAGGTGCCATTTACCATAATAAAATCCAAATTACCAAGGTACAAAAGGATCATAGTGTCAATTCCTGAAAAATATGCTATACTTTGGAGTTACAGTTTTTGCTAAGCTGTTGGGTGTTTTCTTTAATGGAGTCAGCAGGTTCTTTTGATCACACAAGGCTTGGGGAACAACCATGTGTCCTGGAAATTCATCCCTCACCATCATCACTATTATTGTCCATGACAAGCATTAAGTGAACATTAACTCTATGCTAAGAATTATGCTAGGAGCTAAGACTACAAGGAAGTATATAACAATGACTAATTTTTAAAAAATAAAATCTATCTAGGGAGTCAAGATCTATGCAAGAAAAGATGGCCTGTGACAAACAGCAAATGCTTGCTGCAGACAACTTAAAGAATTCAGAGCCTGAGATGGTCAATAAAAGCAACAAGCAGCAGGAGAGACCAGCACTGGCTTTTAGGAACAAAAATTAACAAGTAGAGAAAAAGATAGAGGGCATTTTAAACTTGTAGACCATTGGTTCTCAAATCTCCTGAGGAGTTTGTTTAAAATGTATGTTCCTGGATACTGCGCAGAGATTGAATCGGTATATCAGGACAGGGCCTAGACACCTACGTTTTGACAAATACCTATTGATTGTGACATAGGAAACCATAACCTTGCTTCTCAAAAGTGTGAAATGACCAGTGTATTGGTGTGCTTTGCGAGCTTATTAAGAAATAACAAAATTTCAGTCCCCGTCTCATACCTAAAAATCCTTAGCCATATCTAAGGTCATGGAGATTTACCATTGGTTTTCTTCTAAGAGTTTTACAGTTCTAGCTCTTGGATTTAGCCTTCTGCTCCCTTTTGAGTTAATTTTTGTGTATTGTGTGAGGAAGGGAACATTCATCTGCATGTGACTATCCAGTTGTCCCAGCACCACTTGCTGAGATAAGTCTTTCCCTGTTGGATGGTCTTGCTATTCTTGTTAATAAACATAAAAGTTTGTTTCTGGACTCTCAACTGTATTCCCCTGATCTCTATGTCTATTTTGTGCTAGTACCACAATGTCTAAATTACTGTTACTTTGTAGTAAATTTTGAAATAAGGAAATATGGCTACTACTTTGTTGTTCTTCTTCAAGACTGTTCTGACTATTCTAGGTCCCTTATAATTCCATATAAATTTTACAGGTAGCTTGTCAATTGAATATTTTTCCAATTGTAGATCTTCTTTAATAATTTTTAATAATGTTTCATGCTCTTCAGAGTATAAGTCTTGCACTTCTTTTGTTAAATTTATTCCTAAGTATTGTATTCTTTTTGATGCTATTGTAAATGTAATTGTTTTTTTTAAATAAATTTTATTTATGTATTTATTTTTATTGAGAGGGGAAGGGAGGGAGAAAGAGGGAGAAAAACATCAATGTGTAGTTACCTCTCACACGTCCCTTACCGGGGACCTGGCCTACAACCCAGGCATGTGCCCCAACTGGGAATCGAACCCACGACCTTTTGGTTTGCAGACTGGCACCCAATCCACCGAGCCTCACCATCCAGGGCTAAATGTAATTTTTTTCTACGTTTCATTTTACAATAGTTCATTGCAAGTATATAGACATATAGACAGACATACAATTGGTTTTTGTATATTGATTGTATCCTGAAACTTCCTGAATTCATTTATTAGTTCTAACAGTTTTTGAGTTAATTTCTTAGTATTTGCCCTACATAAGATTGTATCATCTGTGAAGAGATCGTTTTACTTCTTACTACAATCTGGATGCCTTTTACTTTTTTTTTCTTGACTATTTGCTGTAGATAGAACCTACAGTAAAATGTTGAATATAAGTGACAGGAGAAGTCATCCTTGATTTGTTGTTGCTGCCCTTGGGTGAAAGCATCCAGTCTTCACAAGTATTCTGTTAACTGTGGGTTTGGTTGTGTTCTTTTTTTTTTTGTAAATATCATATTGATGAAGTTCCCTTCTGCTTTTAGTCTGTTGAGTGTTTTTATCAAGAAAGAGCATTGGATTTTGTCATACACTTTTCTGTGTCTGTTGATACGTTTGTGTAATTTATTGTTTTTTACTATATTGATATGAAGTATTAATTAATTGATTTTTGTAAGATAGATCAAACTTACATCCTACTTGGTCATGTATTTGTTGCTTTTGTATGTTGCTGCATTTGGCCTGTTAGTATTTTGTTGAGTATTAATTTGTTTACATATTTTTTAAAAGATTTTATTTATTTATAAAGAGAGGGGAAGGGAGGGAGAAAGAGAGGGGGAGAAATATCAATGTGCCAGAGAAAACATTGATTGGTTGCCTCTTGCATGCTCCCAACTGGGAACCTGGCCCGCAACCCAGGCATGTGCCCTGACTGGGAACCAAACGAGTGACCTTTCGGTTCACAGGCTGATGCTTAATCCACTGAGCGATACTGGCCAATGCCATATATTTTTTAATAGTTTTTTAATTGTATTTTTTCCATTATCACTTATCACTCTTACACCCTCTTTTACTTCTACCCATTCCCCCCAGCACTAACCACACTGTTGTCCATGTCCATGAGTTCTTTTTCTTTTTTGCTCAATCCTGCCACCCCTCTCATCCCCTCCCCCCATCAGAGCTATCATCCGGCTCTCTATCTGTAAGTCTGACTCTATTTGCATGTTAGTTCAGTTTGTTCATTAGATTCCACATATCAGTGAAGTCATGTGGTATTTGTCTTTAGCTTTCTTATTTCACTTAGCATAAGGCTCTTTAGGTCCATCTGTGCTGTCGCAAAGGGTAAATTTTTTCTTCTTTATAGCCTAATAGTATTCCATTATGTAAATATACCACAGCTCTTCTATCCGCTCATCTACTGATGGAATCTTGGGCTGCATCCAAACCTTGGCTTTTGTAGATAATGCTGCAGTGAACATAGGGGTGTATATATTCTTTTGAAGTAGTGCTTCAGGGTTTTTTGTATAATATCCCAGAAGTTGAATTTCTGGGTCAAAAGGGATTTTTTAGATTTTTTTGAGGAAACCCCATACTGTTTTCCACAGTGGCTGCACCAGTCTTCATTCCTACCAACAATGCAGAAGGGTTCCCTTTTCCCCATATCCTCACCAGCATTTGTTGTTTGTTGATTTGATTATAGCCATTCTGACTACTGTGAGGTGATATCTCATTGAGGTTTTAATTTACATTTCTCTTTTGATTAGTGACAGTGAGCCCCTTTTCATATGTCAATTGGCCATCTGTATGTCGTCTTTGGAGAAGTATCTATTCAGATCCTTTGCCTATTTTTTAGGTGGGTTATTTGGTTTACTGTTGGGTCGTGTATGTGTGTGTGTGTTCAGTTTTATAAACTCTTTATAAATTTTGGATATTAACCCCTTATCAGATTTATAAGTGAATATACTCTCCCATTTAATAGGTTGTCTTCATCTTGATGGTTTCTTTGCTGCGCAAAAGCTTTTTAGTTTTATGTAGTCCCGTTTATTTATTTTTTCTGTTATTTCCCTTGCATGAGTCAATATATCAGAAAAAATATTGCTATGAGCAAAGTCCAAGATTTTACTGCCTATGCCTTCTAGGATTTTTATAGTTTCGAGTCTAACATTTAAATCTTTAATCCACAAGAAGCTGGTCTAATTTCTTTCTTTTTTTTTTTTTTGCACATTATCTGTCCATTTTTCCCAACACCATTTATTGAATAAACTCTCTTTAGCCCATTTCATGTTTTTGCCTCCTTTGTCA